AAGGAGAAGGACGAGGTTTTTGGCCGTGGTGTTTTGTGGTGAGTGGAGATGTGCTTCACTTCAGTGACACAGAGTTCATTAACAATTTTCTCCTACTTCAGTGCAGAATAGTGACGTTTGTGTCTTGTTGATAACGTGTAGGTGGATGAATGCACTTTGACCGTTCAGACTGAAGTCACATGTTAAAGATCAGATATGTATCAGTTTCAGGAGCACAGATCCAAGTGTCCTGCGTCACATTTGAAAAAAATCGGATCTGTGCTGTTCAGATTGTCAATAAAAGATCAGATACAGGAACATAGAGACAAAAAATCGGATTTGGGTCACTTCAGGTGCAGACTGAACGCAGCCATAGTCCCTCCAGCGTGTCCTGGGTCTTCCCCGGGACAGAACAGATGCTCCTCACCACGTGGAGGAGCAGCGGCTCTACTCTGAGCTCCTCCCTTGTGACTGAGCTCCTCACTCTATCTGTAAGACAGACCCAGACACCCTGCGGAGGAAACTCGTTTGTGCCGCTCGTATCGTCGATCTCGTTCTTTCGGTCACTACCCAGAGCTCATGACCAGAGGTGAGTGGAGGAACGGAGACTGACGGTAAATCGCTCCCTCTTTCCCATTTTCTACACACGGAAACAAAATAAAACACGATGTAATGAAAATGATCAGGATAAAATCAAATCTTAAATCCAAACTGTTCAATCATCTAACGCGCCGCAAAACTAACACGCACATGTCGATGTTTAACTGAACCAAACAGACAATAAAACCCTAAAATACACTTTCAAAATGTGACTTGTTCCTCCACGTCTGCGTCGGGAGCTCAGATCGACGGCGTTTAAACAGTAACAGCGCTTGGGGGTCGTGCACATGTGCAGCAGAGCCCTGGAGCTCAAATCAGAAAATATCACTGTATTATAAAAGGAAATTCACACTGTAGCCGAAGATATTTATTTAATATAAAGATTTCAGTGTTTCCCGTTCTTTTCTATAGTGGGAGTTTGATTTGATAGAAGATATCGGCCTGTGGAAATGAACTCTACCTAGATTCATATAAATGAGTAAATATACCGAATGCAGTATTAGTCGCTCTGGATTATAAGACGCACTGTCATTAAATGGTCTATTTTCAAACTTTTTTCACAAATAAACCGCGTGGGACTTTAAAGGAAACACAACAGTGCGATGGGTGAGTGGTTTTGTTTGTTTGTTCGTTCGCGGTGACTCGGTTGTTCAGTCGTGTCTAGAAGCGGCACGTCGCGCTCGTCGCTTTTTCGGTTCGTTCCTCCGTTCCGTTCCTCGTCGGCGTGGAGTGACGATCGTGTCTGCGGGTGTTTTTCGCCGTGCGGTCGCTGTCTGCTCCGTGTGTGTTTGCGTGCGCTGCGGCTTTGTAGTTTGGGACACCTGAGTGGATTCGTGTATGGGGCGCTCTGGATTGTGGCGCGCGGTCGTTTTTTGATGGGGTCGGAGGCTTAAGAGCGCGTCCTGTGGTGCGGAAAATACAGTAATTCTACAGCGGGACCTTATTCGATGGTTAAATTGTCCTGTGGATTTGTGCTCCCTTTAGTCGGAGTCTATTTGAGCAGAATATGACTGACCAAATGAACTACTACGCAGATTCAGATAAATGAATTGAAACTTGAAAGAACTAAGATCTAAACTAAGAACTAAGATCCTGTAGAGGTTTGGTTTTATTGGATCTATACAACTGTACACGGAAAAGGTCTCTTATTTCGACGGGGTTGCGTGAATCGAAAACAACGTCACCGTCGATTTAGGCGGCTGGGAGCTCATTTCGACAGAACACTCAGTACGGAGCCCCACTCACACACACGTGCCCCGGGTCAGTGGTGGTTCAGGTCCGTTCACACCTAACGCTCTGCTGCGTCATTTAAACTGAATTAGAACAGAACCGAACCTCGCTGAGTGACCAGGAAACTCACAGAAATCACCGAAGCGACGCTGAAGCCTCGTCAGACTCGACTTGAGCGACAGAAACTGACGCGGTCCTAAAACGGCCTTTACTTTACGTCTTTGTGGTCATTTTATTTCTATAAACAACAAAGCAGGAAAAATGGATAATCCTTTCACAAATAAAGTTCAGCGACAGAGCGAGGAGTCTGGAAACGTAAATGCGACTGTTAAATATGGAAGATAATTTGTTCCATTAGATTTAGAATTTTAAATCCTGTCGAATTTCTCACTTAGAATTTTTTCACACTGAAAAAACATGTTTGAATTATTTTTATTCTGAATGTCAGTTGAAATTTTAAGTGGAAATTTGGTGTCTGAAGCGTTTGAAATTCAATTAAAACTGTAAAAAATAAAAATAAGTCACCTTTTAAATATTCAGCACAACTATTGTCAAGTCCTCAGATTCAACAGTCAAAATTCAAAGGGAGAAATTCAATGGTATTTAAAATTCTAAATGTAATGGAGCAAATTATCTTTCATAGTTAAAACACAGTCACAACGTTTATATTGGTGATAAAAGTTTTTAAGTGACCGTAACTATCATGATTTCAGTCTTCGTCATTCATAAATTAATCGATAAAAAACAAAAATGAAAAGTGCAGTAAACGTTAATGGCCACTTGAGGGAGCACTGCAGCTGCTTTATGTATTTAATACAGTGAAACTTAATGCTCTAAAAACTTATTCCTTAACTTAAAAAATCCAAACCAACTCGATTCAATTAAAGATAAACATAAAGTCTGTACATACAAAATCTAAAATCTGCGGAAAAGTCAAATCTGAGCGTCTGAACGGGCTCCTCAGTCTCAGAACACTGACGCCGCTTCTGTGACTAAACAACAAACCAAGCGGTGATACTGGCATTTTGTTCACACAGACACACAATCCCTGCATGTTTCTCATAATTTACCGGAAATGTTTTTGCTCAAGGGCGTCGGTTTGCACAGGGACGGTGGGGAAGATATTTGGGGAAGACAAAATAGTCCCTACTGATATTTGCCGTTTTAATTTAATAAACAAAAATATAGATTTATTCCGATATTTTTCCAACCTGAACCTGTTTTAGTTCACATTTTGTTTATTAGACGTTCGGAGATGTATTCACCCTGCATTCGATTTTCCCTCCGAATCGGTTTTCCGAGGAAGTTGCCGAGCGACACGTGTGACACGCTCCTTTTCCTGGGACCTCGGTGGCGGAAAAACTAGACCGAGCAAGATTCAGAGTCAGAATCTGAGATGTCTCCGCCGACTATGACGTGTAAATATGAAGTGTTTTCATTACGTTTGGACATTTTGGTGTTTAAATGACTCGTATCACTGCAGAACTTTACTGCATCTGTATCACTGCAGTACTTTTACCGCGTCCGTATCACTGCCTGTAGGTTTGGGAGTCGGTGTGTTTAACGGGCATCGCTCTCCTCGGGGTCACATAGACCTGAAGAAAAATCTTTTTTCCTTCCCGCTCTCTTATTTTTACATAAATTCTTGCCAGGTGAGAAAATACATTTTTGGGTCTGATTGACCCGCCCCAAGAGAGCGGGAAGGAAAACTATTTTTTCTTTGGGTCAAGGAGAGCGTGAGGGTTAACGTCCCTAAAGTTGTAACAGAAGATAAATCAAAGTCAAGGTCAAAATGAACTTTCATCAGTGCTTCCATGATGGAGGCATCAACAAACTGAAACCCTCTGGACTTCTCACTGTTCCTTCACCTCAGATCTGAACCACGTGGATGTTTTGCTCAGATATGTTTCACTTAATAGAACGAAGCGCAAAATTTCAAAAATGTAATGAATTAAAGTGGCAGCGTTTTCATAAGACGAGGGGACGGTCATGATCTTAATCCACGTGTCCGACACGCCAAACAGAATAATACGCTTCAAGCTCGGACGTGACGTCAAATCCGAGGTCCAGGTCGGAGTCGGAAGATAATCGAACGCAGAGTCAGTGATATGACGACAGGGTTACGCCTGCCGCTATTTCACTGCAACAGAGTGACGTCAGGAGCCTAAACGGGGGGAAGCGGCAGGACAGTGCAGCGCCTGAAGATGTTCTCCGCTAAACAATCATCTTAGAAGGACAACGGACACAAACTGAAACCACCTCTCACTTATTTTGGAAAGAATTCATAAACACATGGCGGGTGGAGGGGTGAGCTGAGAATGTCCCCACCAGAGCTGAGACCAAACCTACGCCCTTGTTTCTCCTACTAATTACCGGATCAAAAATGCAGGGAAATCAGTTCTGCTTCGTTCACACGTGACCCTGATGAGGCAAAGTGCAGGTCCGTTCGGTCTGTGTGTGTGACCGGGGCTCAGGTCGACGCTCTGAGAACACGCGGAACGTCTCGCTCCGCTATTCCACATGATTTAAAAGAACTGTTCATCCATCTTTACAAAAACTTTCACTGAGTACAGTCACAGTCCCCCCCCCCCATGTTTCTCCAAACCGGACACAGACACAGTACACGGAGCATTATCGCTGGTTGGTGAGACGTGAGAAAACATGATATTAAGAAAATAGATATGTAGAAAAAGTAGAAAAAGTTCAAGTTTTGGATTTGTGCTGAGTCAGATCGTCTGAGGTGAGGGTCAGAGGTCAGGGTCGGAGGTCAGGGTCAGAGACTGCATATATAAGTGGACACAGCGAACCGTCCAGCTGCCTCTTTCTGAGCAGGAAGTGAACACGGGCATCACGTTTCTATCAGACTCATCATTTTTGTCGTAAAACGTTCAGTTGAACCCGTTCTACGTGGTCCGGGTGTTTTCATTCTGCTGCCCTCACTCCTGATTGGCTCTTTGGTTGCTATGATACACGCACTCGGGATCTGGCTCCAAACAAACTGCGCCAAACAGCCGGGCCTCAATGAGCTTCGTTTGACTGGAGCCAAATGCCGTGGGTGACGCGAGGCTCCGCTTTTATACGCAGGCCGCGGTGAGGGAGGGGCGGGGTGTGTGACTCTCTGACTGAGGGTCTCTGGGGTTGGGTCAGTGGGCGAGGGTCTCTGGTTTTGGTCAGTGGGTCTGGGTCAGTGGGTGAGGGTCTCTGGGGTTGGGTCAGTGGGTGAGGGTCTGGGTCAGTGGGTGAGGGTCTCTGGTTTTGGGTCAGTGGGTGAGGGTCTCTGGAATTGGGTCAGTGGGTGAGGGTCTCTGGAATTGGGTCAGTGGGTGAGGGTCTGGGTCAGTGGGTGAGGGGTTGGGTCAGTGGGGTGAGGGTCTGGGTCAGTGGGTGAGGGTCTCTGGTTTGGGTCGGTGGGTGAGGGTCTCTGGTTTTGGGTCAGTGGGTCTGGGTCAGTGGGTGAGGGTCTGGGTCAGTGGGTGAGGGTCTCTGGTTTTGGGTCAGTGGGTGAGGGTCTCTGGGGTTGGGTCAGTGGGCGAGGGTCTGGGTCAGTGGGTGAGGGTCTCTGGTTTTGGGTCGGTGGGTGGGGGTCACTGGTGATGCATGAGTCTGAGTGTGACCAAACTGCCGAGGGCCAGTCCTGCCACAAAGATGAGCAGGACGCCGTAGATCTGGTACCCGCTGACTGTGCGCATGGAGGCGGCCGCCAACTCCGAGAAACTGCTGATCTACGCACACAAACACACACACACACAAATACACACACAAACACACACAAATACACACACAAACACACACAAATACACACAAACACAGAGTAAAACAAATGTAGGCATGAGTTCCAAAGCCCTGTGACATTTATACTCACAAAACTGTTTGTAAATGAAACTCTGAACCACGTGTGAGGAGATACAGACCCATCCTCCGTGCTCCCGGATCCAGCCCAGCAGGTTGGTCCTGAAGAAGTCCACGGTCCACTGCACCACCTCCCGCACCGACTGAGGGAGATGAGCCTCCACCAGCTGCACACACACACCAGCAGAACCGTCTAACTAAACCTACAACTAAAAACTCATGATTTTTTTATCTGAACTTTAAACCAGTAATAAAGGATTCACGTCGTGGGACCTGATCACCCGGGCATCGACACACACACTGTCTTAAAACAAAATTCCACAACAAATGGTTCTACAAATCAGAGACTTGCACAAGGCCGGGTGCAGATAGGTGCTAAAACGGGCGGGTTTTAACATTCTGGAATTTTACAGGCAGGGATGTGGGAGGGTAGTGATTACACACGGGCAGGTCAGGACTAAATCAGGACTAAACCAGGATTACGCCAGGACTAAACGAGGTTTAAGGGCCTGTTTACATGAGAACACCTGCAGGTAAAACCGAAAAAAATATTTGATCAGATGTGTCTTTTGTTTAGACGGTGACGGCGTTTTTGGGACTTAAAAATGCAAAACTCTGAAACCACCGTCCAGAGTGGAAAAGTTGAATATGCTCCACCGTAGGGTTCCGTCTACAGTGCCCAAGACGTAAAACTCTGGTAAGATTTACGTCACATACATCACCACCTCGCCGCTTGGCATGCATACACAATCAATTTCCACACACGTTTGTCTCACCGTATGCACGTAGATTTCCTCCTGACAACGCTCGTCTAAACGCAGAATAAAAAGTGAAGACGCAATGCCATTTTTGTGTCTTCTGTTTAGACCATCATCATCTAAACCAGGTCTAGACCAGGGCTAACCTTGGACTTGAGAGAGAGAACCCCAAGCCTGTGGAGCAGGGTGTCCTCAAAGTGCGATGGGACGATGGCTGGGCGCAGCTCCGTGGGGCGCAGAGCTCTGCACTGGTCCTTTCGCCCAAGGTCACCCGACAGTCTACGTGGGCGAACCTCCAGGCCCGTCCCGACACTCAGTCCTGGTTCAGTTATAGTTTAGTCCTGGATTAATATTGTTTTAGTCCTAGTTCAGTCCTGGTTCAGTGCTGGTTCAGTCCATGGTGTATGCCACTCAAAAGTCCGGCATCTCAACAGATGTTTCACATGTTCAATAAATAATGTCTGTGAAGTGATGACGTATTTTTGACAGTCGAGTCGCGTCTGTGACTCATGTTCATGTTCGTGCTGAAGAAAGTGAAACCGTTTCATTTCGTGATTGTAATTCTTGAAGTCGTAACTTTTCAATTCGTATTCTGATGGATGCTTCACTCAGAATGATTTTAATTTGTGTGTTATTGTATCACAGGCACGTACGGGTAACGGGTGGAATGTTAACGGGTCCGGGCGGGTGCAGATTTAACTTAGATATAATGTGCGTTTGCGGTGCTGGACTGTGAAGGTTGGGCGGGTGCGGGTCTGCAAAAATGGACCCGTGCAGGACTCTGGATTCAGGTGCTGGGGTTCAGAGCGTGAGGATTCAGGTCAGGGAGAGGCATTTTAGGTCTAAACCAACTGGACGGGACCCAAATGAGAGACTCGCGTGGGGCTCATTCTGCTTTCTGACTGGACGATCATCTTGAATTAACAACTTCAATATCGTGTCCAATGTTTTTGTAGTTCAGAATAAATCAGCATTAAAATGACAAACACTCAGAATCGTATATTTAGTTTTTTTGTATGTGTGTGTCATAGAATCCTTATTTGATGCATGTTTCTACAGTTTGAGACCTCAGAGTCAGACTGACCTTGACCGCGAGGCGTCCGGCCACGTAGAAGAGCACGGCGATCCTCTCCCACGTGATGCCCTGCGCGAACACTTTGTCTGCCACCTGTTTGAAGAGGTCCCACTTTGAGCCCGGGGCCCGCCGTATCCCGTCGATGGCACTGCACAAGGACACACAACACAGGAGGAGTTACACCACATTTAGACCGATCCACAGGAGAGGCCCACAGCACCAACTGGACACCACAATAATAACACAGAAGGTCAACCTGGGAACTAAGGCTACGCTCACACTGCAGCCTGAAGTGACCCACATCTGATTTTTTGGCCCCTATGCTCCTGTATTTTAATGACAGTCTGAACCACACAGATCAGATTTTTTCAAGTGCGACCCAGGACACTTGGGCTACGTTCAGACTGCAGGGTTTAACGCTCAAATTGACGAGAACAAACATGAATTTTCAGGATGTGGTTGGTACATCCATGTAATTTTAAAAAGCACGACAATATCAAGTAATCCAAAGTATTCAGATTACGTTACTCACTTAAAGTAATTTAATGGATTATGTTACAAACTACATTTTGGGGTATGTAATCTGTAATCTGTAGGGGATTACATTTTAAAAGTCACCTTCCCAACACTGTTCATTGTTCACTCGCTCCACATTCAGAGTGTCAGTGTCATAACTGTTTTTACTAACGTACATTCCCCATTCTCACCTGCTCGGAGGGAAAATAACGTGAATAGTTTCTGTGACCTGCACGTAGATAAGACATCAGCAGTCGTATTTAATTTGGTTGCTAAACATTTGCATATGTGCAAAACAAACAGCGCGCGCTCGTCGTTACTGTCGCACTTCAAATAATACACGAGTCGAGTTTGTCCCGACTGCTCGGCTCATCAGACCGACCCGAGCGCGGCGCACACTGGGTCTGTGGGGCGGAGAGGAGTTTGTGCCTCATCACACACTCAGCTCTTTAAATAAACCTGTAGATCTGTGTGTGTGACCTGAAAAAGTTTAACATGAACCATCTCCAACGTGACACACCCACACAGAACAGACTCACCATCAGCAGAACACCCCTCTGTCACAGAAAGAACACTCACATTACACTGAGTCGTGCCCTTCAGACCCTGTTTACACTAAAACGAATCTTGATAATTAATGCTTTGGTCTCAGGGTGGATCTTAGGCATGTTGTCAGAGGTCAAGTTGCAGTTGATGTGAAGGTCTGGTGTGCTGGGGTTCTTTTTATACACACCCACTAATTGATTGATCAGTAACTGATCACAGGTGAGGCTGTAATCTAGGATTGGGTGCATCATATGACAAGGCCACAAAACTTTTGTCTTGCCAAAATCTGACCTTTCTGTGTTCATGAAATGATCAATCTTTCTTCAGTGAAGCAAATTTATTTTAGTATATTGAGCATAATTTGGGAGGGTTTTAGCTTCATATGAGACATTTCTAAAACCAATCGATTAATTTAAAGTCGGTTATAAGCTTTTGTTTCTACAAAATGCATAAGCGACAAGACTTTTGTCAGGGACTGTATGTTGATGCTCGTCAATAGGGAGTTTAATGGTGGGGGGGTGGGGGGGTTTAAAAGGGAGAAAAATGCAACGCTAACTGGAATATGTATAACTGCAAATAATAACACTTGAATAAAAATTTGATCACAATAAACATGTATTCCTTGTTGCTTGCCAAAAAACTGGAAAATAAATCTTGGAAAATCATCTCTGGTCATGGACATTGATTTGTACTGTGTAAACCACATGCCCAAAGGTGATTATTTGAGTTATGTTTAGTTCTGAGTTTGCTCACCGCTTTTGTTTGTTACTTTTCTTTGACAAATCGTCACTTCACCGATGGAATGATGTCGCTCAAATGTTGCACCACAATAATAATACATAAAAACTCATGTTGCCTGCTTTGCTTATGTGTCGATTCAAACAAAGACTCAGTTCTTTTTTTAAATGAGATCCAGTGCCAGTTGTTCATGCAGGAGCTGTTTAAAAGAGCCGTCACATCATCAGTATTCACACTGTTCACTCTGAGCTGTTTCCAGTAGTGAACGATGTGCAACACGTCCACAAACTGCACCTGTTTTCAGTTTGCACACGCAGTTTTGCACCTGGACTGATCTGGATCTGGATCTGGATCTGAAATGGAAGTGACTGTAACGCGGCGGTCAGACTCACTCCTCCAGCAGCTGGTTGTTCTTCACGTTGTCCCCGATGATGCGGATCATTTTGGCCAGCTCCGTCACCACCTTCTGCTCCTGCTGCGACTGCACCTGATTGGTCAGCAGCGGCGTGAGGGGCGGGACGGCCTCTGCGGGCACCTCCTCCCTCAGCTCCTCCTCGATCACCCTGCACGAGGCACAAACCAACAAACGCCGTCAGGACTGGAGTGGGTTTATGGAAGAACATTTGGTTCATCAGATTTTGACTTCTAAATCCTGTTAAATTTTTTAACCCTGAAAAAACATGAGTGAATTATTTTTATTCTGCCTGACAGCACCAGTCACAGAGAGAGGGGCCACGTTTTTTCTATAGAAAGTGAACTGGTGCCAGAGTCGATGGAGCCAGAAGGGCGCTCATTAGGGATATAGGCGGTATCTCGATATTTTAAATATATCAAGATATTTTTTAAACAGGAAATGGATTCTGACATCATATATATCAATATATCGATATTAGGGATGGGCATGATTAGTTGATTAATCGATAATTGATCATTAAGAATTTCATCGGATTACGTTAATTTTAATCGACAAACCGAATGTAGGTTTCTGTGTGTGTCGTGACCAAACAGGTGTGTACATGTGTCTCTGCATCAGAAGGAGCGAGACACAAACAGTGGGTCAGTCTGTAACGAACCGAAGCACAAATGTGGATTTAACCAGGATTTGTACAAGAAATTCCACACTTTCCGTTGCGTTGGGACAAGTGTGAGTCCATGTGCACAGTGGATAAAGCAGCACATATGTTTCTGTGTCCAGTGGGAAAAAGTTTTTACAGGTGAGAGTCGCTCAATGTGGATGACGAGGCCCCGCCCCCCTCCCCCCGTACGCTGTCCTGGTTTTGACAAACGCAAATCTGGTCACACTGACCTGTATTCACCTGAGTCATGTCTTTTAATCTGACACAAGTTGAACCACATCCTTCTTCCTTAGTTTATGCAAATTAGTGATGTGGTTTTAAGTTTTGTTTCTGTGAGATTTGAACAAAACTGAATTAAACACATTATAATGTCAAACAGCTGATGTGGCTCTAGAGTCGTTATGTTTATATGTCGTAAAGTTGAATTTATTTATGCAGATTAGTGCAGATAGTAATAATAATGATGATAATTTTAATATAAAAACGTTAATGAATAATCGATCGTTAATTCTTCCGACGATCGATTAAGAAAATTTCATCGAATGCCCGTCCCTAATCGATATAATGTTTATATATGCGCTCGTTCACCCTGTGCGCCCCCATCCCCTCGAGTTTGTGATCCGTCCCCTCGCGTGTCTCATTTACTCCTCACTCCCGCCGCGAATGCCCAAAGTCAGGACATTCAACAACCACACAAAATGACGATGTCCGAATCCCAAAACTAAAATATGACAATATCAGAACCAGAAACAAAAGCGATACGGTTCAAAAGACTTGAAAAGATCGACTTTGACAATAGACGCGTCCCACTGGGAAAACAAACATGACGGTTTGATGCTCACTTTTTCAGAAAATCCATCCCAGTATGAATTGCGCAATGACAGGAAGTCCGAAATTCGTGATGCGTGCGTAGCTCTGGTCTAAATGCGCTGATGTAGGATTTAATCGACGCTGATGTTTTGGGCTGGACTCCGTTCAAAAAGAGCAGTAGTAATAGTAGTAATCTCAGTGCGACTTCCTTAAATAAAAACTTGACTTAAACACGACTTATTTTGTTTGGCCACATTAAAGTTTATGGGTAAATCGTTTTATTGTGTAATTGCCTGAGTCATCATGGGCATGACGCAGATCAGGCGGTGCGTCACGTCTGCTTTACGATGCCTCATTTACTGGAAAAGCTTTGTCTGTTTTACAATAGAAAATGAAAGTGAAACCGAAGCTTGTTTATGGTGTAAATGACAATACAGATTCTCTTTGTCGCAATACTGAAATTAAACTCAATTTTGATATGAAAGAATAAATCTGACACTGGCTCTGACACGACAATGATAATTAAAAACACTATTAATAGATTGTGATTTTAACATTAAATGGTAGTTCTTTCTTTTACATTAGTTTCTAGTTTCAGTATAATTTTAGTATTGATTAGTGGTTGATTTTACTTTGTTTTTTAATGTTTTAATCAAATAATATTACTAGGCTATAGATTTTACTACAACCTGTTACTATAATTTTTATTTTTTATTTTTTTTTATTTATAATTTGTCAAGTTTGAGGGATTGGATACCCAGCACATCCACAACAAGACAGACTTAACTAAATATAAAATGAACACGAATACAAAAAAAATAAATAAATAAATAAATAATAATAATAATATAAAAAAAATAATAAGAAATATAATAAATAAAATAAAAATAAATAAATTAAATAAAATAAATAAAATAATAATAATAATAATAATAATAATAATAAACTATACTATAATTTACTTACTTACTCTAATTTAATTTGCCTACCTACAGTGGGTGCAAGAAGGCAATACTTAAGTTAAAAAAAAATAAATATCCTCCTGGGACCCAAAGGAAAAAAGTGTATTGCAATATATATTTTTTTTGTGATTTTTCTATCTATTTGGAGGTAAATTAACACCTTATTTACATTTTGTTAATTGTATTTTTGTTTCTAATTTTGTAGCATGTCCTCAGTAATGGACGCCGGGGACGTTTTGGTCTTAAATCCAACTTAACAAAACAAACTTATTGATGAGAAACACCTCTGACAACTTCTACAGTCACCTCAGAACATTTTTAGACTCCCTTTTAATTTATTTTTTTTAACCATAGTGAAGCCACAAACTTTTTTTTTATTTTAATTTTTTATCCTAGACATGATAGTACCTATAATCCCCCAACCCTATTTAGGCAGAGGAACCCAGTCCCCCCATTAAGAGTCCGTCTCAAAACACTTAGAATATAAACTGGTTTAACTCAACGTCCACTCTGATGGACACAAATGAATGGACCGGGTCACAGGAGGAGGATATATAAAATGCAGATTGATCACACTGAATCTATGTTTTTTAAGGCCTGGTTGGTTATACAAGTACGTTTCTCAATAGTTAAGTAGAATTTTAAAAGTTAGAGTCATTTAAATTTAAAAGTTACTAAGTCATAAAAGTTAGTAAGTCATAAAAACGTTGTATCTACAAGTAAAACATTTGAACTCATTACAATGAGTTCAAAAATGTTTAATCAAATAATATTATTAGACTATATATTTTACTACAACATGTTACTATAATTTTATTACTATACTTTAACCTACAGTGTGTACAAGTAGTCTATACTTAAGTAAAAAAAAATATATATATATATATATATATATATATATATATATAAAATGCAGTTTGATAGAAGGACAGATAATACTCCCTACAACTGTACAACAACTCACCCTTATGTAACAGATAATACTCCCTACAACTGTACAACAACTCGCCCTTATGTAACAGATAATACTCCCTACAACTGTACAACAACTCGCCCTTATGTAACAGATAATACTCCCTACAACTGTAAAACAACTCGCCCTTATGTAACAGATAATACTCCCTATTTTATTACTTGTCTATTTTATTTTTATTTTTACTTGTACATTTACATTTAAATAGTTATGTCTCTTTCTATCTTTTTTTTTTTTTTGCTACTTATTTAGAATTTTATTTAACCTTTTATATATATTTTTTCTCTTTGATATTATATTATGTTAATAAATTAATAAATTTGTGGATCAATAAAGTTTGTCTACGTCTAAGTCTATACGAGTACGTTTTTCAGTAGTAAATTAGACACGTAATAAGTCATAAAAAGTTGTACGTGCAAGGAAAAACATTTGAACTCGTTAAAATATTTACTTGAGTACTTAATACGCAATAAACAACAGCGTAATAAAGTGGTACTTACTCTTTAATCAGCGCCTCTCCAATTCTCTCATCTGTGCAAACACAACGCAGACATCGTAACAACGTAAAAAATAAATAAATAAATAAAGTATTATTGTAAGTTTATGATTAAAACAAACCTGACATCCCGTTACCCTCACACGCCATGGCTCAGGGAAAAAAAAAAAAGTGCACTTATAGAAAACGCGATGTTCTTATTGTTAAAACATCCGTCCACAAAATCCCTCCACGAACTTATCTTTACGACGACAATCCGCGTTACGTGCACTTACGTCCCATTCAAAGTAAAAAACATCCACGCCTCGGTCAAAAGTGAGAAAAGTTCGTCAGGAAACACCGCATAGTACGGTACGGTAAAGGAGGAGCGCTCGAAAGCATGCACGGTACGGTTTGGAGGGGCGGGTTTCGCTACTATAAACACCGCACTGTAAACCCCCGCCTTTGCAAAACCGTAAAACCGAACGTACCAACCCGCGGACGTGGATGATGAATTGAATCGTCGCCGGTCGATGACGTTCGTGAGTTGTTGAAGTTACGTTAGCGAAATGCGAGCGTTTGAAGAGCACGTTTCGGGTTTTAAAATGATAAAAAACAGACTAAACTCGACTGAACAGCTTCGCGTGTGGCTCGAAGACGCTTGTTTGGAACTTTTTTTCTTGTGTCCTCCGTGAGTCAAATGCGGCAGCGCAGATCGGGCAGAGACACGCGCAGCTCAGCCAATGAGAGTCGAGCTACAGAGCAGGGGGCGGGGCTTGCGTATGACAGCGATCAGAATGTTTTAAATGCCCTACGTAATCAGTGTTGGGGAGTAACAGATTACATGTACCGGGATTACGTAATCAGAGTACAAATTATAAGTATCTGTATTCAGTTACAGTTACTGTTTCAGTCAGTGGTAATTGGATTACAGTTACTTTGTTGAAATAAATGGATTACAGGGTGGGATTTTCCTGTTTTCACATTTTGGGCTAAACCAGGACTAAACCAGGACTAAACCAGGATTAAACCAGGTCTAAAAACAGGACTAAACTAGGACTAAAACCAGATCTAAAAGCAGGACTAAACCAAGTCTAAAACCAGGACTAAACCAAGAGTAAACCAGGATTAAACCAGGTCTAAAACCAGGACTAAACCAGGACTATTCCAGGATTAAACCAGGTCTAAAAACAGGACTAAACGAGGACTAAAACCAGGTCTAAAAGCAGGACTAAAGCAGGACTAAACTAAGACTAAACTAGGACTAAAACCAGGTCTAAAAGCAGGACTAAACCAGGATTAAACCAGGTCTAAAAACAGGACTAAACTAGGACTAAAACCAGGTCTAAAAACAGGACTAAACTAGGACTAAAACCAGGTCTAAAAGCAGGACTAAAGCAGGACTAAACTAAGATTAACTAGGACTAAAACCAGGACTAAACCAAGTCTAAAACCAGGACTAAACCAAGACTAAACCAGGACTAAACCAAGTCTAAAACCAGGACTAAACCAAGACTAAACCAGGATTAAACCAGGTCTAAAACCAGGACTAAACCAAGACTAAAACCAGGACTAAACCAGGACTAAACCAGGTCTAACACTAATGACACTTAACAGTGGTGTGGACATAATTGAAGGCAGCAGTGTCTCATATAAAAATCATTTCTCTATCAGGATGTGGTCGCTACATTCATGTCGTTTTAAAAAGCATGACAATAATATCAAGTAATCCAAAGTATTCAGATTACATTACTCACTTTAAGTAATTTAATGGATTACGTTACAAACTACAGTCTGGTGTATGTAATCTGTAATCTGTAGGGGATTACATTTTAAAAGTCACCTTCCCAACACTGCACATAATAGAACAATTTTCGAACTTGGGTCAAATTTAGAAACGCTTATCCACAAAAAAAAAAAAAAAAAAAACTTGGACTGTTCAAGTAAAATAACCCATTTCCATCGTATTTAGTAAACGTCTTCATTCTGTTGGGAAAATTTCACATCCATAAATCCAAATTCTCCAATTAATCTTCATTATACTCGACATGAAGAATGATCTTCAAACACTGAAAACGATTTCTAACATTAAAATCTATTAATACACAAACAAAACAAGAATTTGAATTTTATTTTTAACCACTTCCTCAATTTCTTGTATCGATTTTTATTTTATTTTATTTTATTTTTTGGACGCATTATCTGCCTCAGTTTAAGTTTACATGTATATCAACTTTGTTTTTTATTTGTTTTGGATTAAAATTATGTATGTGTAACATAGTTAATATGAACGCTGTTAAATCCTGCTAAATTGTGAACTAGCGCCATCTCCTGGTGCCCGTCGCACCTGCACTTACTAAACTCGTGCAGACTCTGAGTTCTCCTCGTTGTTCTGGAGAACTCGAGACGAGGTCACGTGACTGTGAAATTGTGTGGACAAAAATGATTGATTCACTCATGTGTAGATATTTTATTGTTCATCTGACAGTTGTGTGTTGTACTGGACGTGTTTTATGTTTGTTTGGCCACAATCTGCTGAAGTTTATTTACAGTATATTTGATTTGACCCTGTTTTTCTTAGTTTTACTAGAGGATAATAAATGTCTGTTTTCTACAGATGAAACATGATGAATGTTCACTACAAATCAACTCACAACAACTGTTTTCTTTGTTCTGTGCAGGTACGTGAGGTACACATGTTTGATGTTAATGTACATCTGGTTATATTCTAAGTGCGTTGCACATTACAGATAAAAATTAGAAAAACGTAACAGACAGGCAAAATACATTTAAAAGTACCAATATATATTGCCCATTGAAAAAAAATGTGCATTTTATTTTATATTATTGTCTTATGGAAATCCACTATACGGCCACAGGAACTATTATTACTATTACTATACAGAGTATTGAGTAATGCTGCTGTTCTATTTTTGTTATTACAATATTGTAAGAGACTTAAATGTTGTAATAACCTGAATATTATTACATTTACTACTCGTTGTTCTGGAGAACTCGAGACGAGATGAAACATGATGAATGTTCACTACAAATCAACTCACAGCAACTGTTTTCTATGTTCTGTGCAGAATAAACTTCTGTCACACCAAACTGCAGCAGCTTCTGTGAGTCATTGAAATAAAAAGAGACACACCGGTCACACATGTATGTGCCATAACTGTGAACTGGACTTTGCACTGATGCAACAATAATCCTGTCTGCACTTTATACTTTAGCTGTTTTGTCTTGTTCTTAAAAAAATAAAATAAAAAAAAACGAGGGCAATCCGTGTATCATTCAATGTTTTTTTCAATATAAAACAAAAAATAAGAAATTGAAAACTATTTTCTTCATTATTTGTCTCCAAAACCAAAATGAAAAAAAAAAAAAATAATAATTCGTTTGTTTCACTTCGATTTTGTGTTTAAATGAAAAATGGAAAAACGGAGTAACTGTTATTTTAATAAATCTGTTAGTGTAACGTAGTTAAAATGAGCGTTGTTAAATCCTGCTAAATTGTGAACTAGCGCCATCTTCTGGTGCCCGCCTGTTAAATCCTGTTTTAGTCCTGGTTTAGACCTGGTTTAGTCCTGGTTTAGTCCTGGTTTAGTCCTGGTTTAGCCCAAAATGTGAAAACAGTAAAATCCCACTGTGTAATCCATTTATTTCAACAAAGTAACTGTAATCCAATTACCACTCACTGAAACAGTAACTGTAACTGAATACAGTTACTCATAATTTGTACTCTGATTACATAACTCCGGTACATGTAATCTGTTACTCCCCAACACTGGGAGGAGGATCAACGATCTCTCTCCGTCTTCTTGGTTGAACAGTTTGGACGAGCACAAGGCCCTGACCTGAGAAAAGACACAGAATGAGTAGAAAAGTACAATAGACCTGGAGCAGAGGTGCTCAATACGTCGATCCCGATCTACCAGTCGATCACCAAGGTCGTGTGGGTAGATCGCCGTGTCTCGTCTCGGACTCGTGTTTGGACTCGGTCTTGTCTCTCACTCGAGGTCTGACACTCAACAAGTGTGATCATATTTCATTCCGGCCGCTGCTGTTGGTAATAAACTTGTAGCGGGTGCAGGAGCGTGTGGGGCGTCTCAGTGCAGCCTGTGCGCTCATTTGAAACCCGCGGAGACTCTACGGCGCATCACAAACACACACGCTCCCTATGCACGGCTCGTCTGCGACAGCGTGTGCCCTCGTGTACCAGCGTGCATCACAGGGCAGGTTCAACTTCCTAAACATCCTACCTGTCCACCTGCCTCACGTCAGCACGCCGCCCCTCGCCTTTTCACGCTCTCGCTCCTTCCTGCGTACAGCCAACACAAGCCCCTCCCACAGTGCGGCTGATTAGAAGAACAAGACCAAACGTGAAGCAAAAACCAGTCTAAATTTGTGTTCCAGTGTTGGCACAAAGCAGGTCTACAGCATAGAGCGGATCTACAGAACAGACCTACTGCCACATTTGGCTGAAGTTTGTCTAACAAAAGTGACAAATGCATCTGTGTTTGTCACGATGTGCGTTTGGTTTGGTAAACGTGCAGAGGCTGGTAAATATCACTGCAAAACCAGAAAAGAATGAAACTCCAGTTTGGAACTTTAAAAAACAGGTTTAAAAATCTTCCTTCACTTTTTTCACAGTTTTGTGTAAAGTGCCAGAGGAAGTTCTCTTAAAGAAGAGGTTCTCAAACTGTGGGGGAGGGTCCAAAAAAGGGGCACAGAGTGTTTCAGTGCAGTTTGTTTGGCTTTGTATTAGGTCGATCATTATGACTTGGTCATTTTGTAAGTAGCTCACATGATGAAAAAGTGTGAACACCCCTGATCTAGAGAATAAACCAAAACTGTAAAAAAAATCGGCCTCGGTGTGAGTCTCAGTGCAGCTCCTTCCTCCAGACAGATTGAAGGCACCAGTACCAGTGACCAGAACACTGCGAAATGTCTTCACCTTTGTTGACAGGATTTAATTTCTTTTGTTATAAAAAATAAAACTTTAGCGGCTCGGCCTCTTTCTCGTGGCACAGTTGGAGTTCGCCTGTTTGGTGTAGTTACGCTCTGCTGCTGGTCTTCACCTCCACTCCTCACTCCTCACCTCTTTCACCTCTCCTCTCTGACCAGTAGATGGCGCCAAAAATACAGGTAAGTTGCGTCTGCTGCTCTCGTTCAGTTCAGCTCAGGTGCACAGGTACAAACCAAACTCAGGAACGCAAAAGGAAATACAGAGACGATACCGGTGAGTAAATCTACCTGTAAATGTTGTTTTCAAGTATAAAGTTAAACTACTGGATCTAGTGTTAAGATCCTAAGGACAAAACGTCAAAATGATCTGGATTAATTCCTGTGAAGTGAATATTCTGTTTAATTTGAGTAACACAATGGAAAGCCTCAGTTGTGTTGTAAATGCAAACGGTTGATTTATTTAACTGGATTAATGTAAAAATGTAAATTAACAGTAAATTAATAAATAAATAAAATTACTATTTAATTATGTAATTGAATATTTTAATATAATTGGCAAAATTTAATATTTAATATTTAAACATTGACAATTGCAAATATTTATGTTTAAATATTTATTTAAATTTTTGTTTAAATATATACCAATTTATTGTAATTGTTGTAAAAGGTGTAGAAGTCTCAACAAGTTCAAGGAGCA